TTTTTCACGCAAGCAGGGGGACCAGGCATCTCGCTGCTGACCTGGTCTAACAAAGCTGGGCAGCGAGATGGGAAGCACTGAGAGACGTCTCAGTGTGTACCTGCTTCAACGGTTGAGCAAGCTGTTCCAATCCTCCTTTTTTGATTCCATGGTGGTTCATGATACTTCCCACAAACCCTTCCACTTTCTCACGCAGCTGAATTGTACAGAGGCTCGCCACCGCACACCTGTTGAAACTTTGTTCAACAATACGGTTTTCGCGGACTCATGCACCTTTCAGTTCCATCGCCTTCCTTCCCATCGTGGAAATTGAGTTAACTGAAAACCAATGTCAGAGTGTGTGTGTGTGTAAGTGTAAGTGTCGAAGTGTAAGTGTCGAAGTGTCAGTGTTCAAAGGATTTTCCGGAAGAACCCTTCGCAATGCTTTCGGGAAAAAGCTTGAAAGTTATATAGGTTGTGCACCCTTATGGGGGAAAGCAGCGGGGGACCGTCTTGACATTTTTTGTTCGCCAGCCCAATATAGCACTATATAGACTTCTCCGCCACAACATGTCAAGATCCAAGCCAAGGCACCTCTGTCATCGGTTTGCACCTTGTAGCGAATCCGTGAAGGGACCCCATCGGGAAAGGCGATGGGGTAGCCTTCTTGGTCAGCATCCTGCGATTTAGCCACGGAGTTGGCGAAGTATTCCGGGTTGTTGACAACGCCTTCCCGCTTGAAAATGGCAGCTTGCAAGGTAGTCAGGGGAAGCCATGTAAATGCGGGCAAATCTGGGTCAGCCACCAACATGCTCTCTGGCAAGGCATCACGCCGCGCCACAAACGAGTTGACGCACATCATGAAGCGTTCACGGGTTGCAGCCGTATGCTGGCCTTCCAGGTTCCTTTCCATAGCAATGATTCTGGCTGGGTGTCCATTGCCCAAGACGGAGAAGCTGACGTGCTGGGAAGCCTTGCCTTCATACGATGTAGATGTCCTGGCGGCACGCTTTGTCTTTCCCCTCGCAATCAGAGTGTTGAGTGTAGATGTGTGCGGGTTGATGCTCGTAGCTTTAGACTATTCACCTGGACAGCCAATGAGAGAGAGGTTCTCCAGCCATTCATAGGCTTCATCTAAATTGAACGCTTGGCCATACCACAGGCGCCGTCCCTCCTTTTCCTTTCTGGCGCCAAACTCCATCTGTGGGAATCGGTAGAACACCTGAAGAAAAATTCGCGGACTGCGAAAGGCACTCGCAACTCCCCCTCCGCGTTCGCCACCAATGTGGCCATATGCTCTTCAGCCATGGTAAGAACGCAAGCGTCGGCCATTTCCTGGACTGGCGCAACCGACATGAAAAAGAACAGCTGCGGCTAAAGCTGCGCGCAGCTTTATAATCAACCCACACACCTCACACAAGGGCGAAAAGGTATATCCAGAAAGCCAAGGCTCGTACAACATTTCGACCGCCTGAAACCAGCGACTCTTACCCTTCTGCGGGGGCGCAATGTGGAACATGAGCATGCTTAGCGGCGAAGGCTTTTGTGTCTAGAGTCTACAGCTGTATGGACGCGCCGTTCGTCAAGGCGGGCATCGCTGCGGCAAACATCATGGTGGTGGAGAAGAGCCCCTGGCAACTCGCCACGCTAATGGGCAGCAAGTAGTCGTGGACGCATTTTGGCAAATGCTCTGGTGCAAAGTTGTCCTTCACAACAGCCAGCGCCTCGGACATGAGGCATGCAGCATCCTTGTCGGAGAGCTCATCAGCAGCTGGCATGACGCGGGCAAAATCGAAGCTGCGCGCGTCTTGTCTGAGAAATTTGCTGTGCCCGATATGTTCATTGCTTCGTCTGTCTTGCAGGCTCACGGCCCGAGTATACTAGCTTGAGATGCAAAGATGCCAGCAAGGAACACTCAGGAACACTCTAAGACCAACCGGGCTCATCAGGTTCAAACAAGCATGTCTGCCTGACTTGGTCATAAATCTCTATGAGTTGGCTGTTCCAGAAAGGGAGCACTATAGAGGTTGGTGGCGTATATGTCAATGTTATAGCAGCACAATGCCTGAGTAACGGATGTCCGATCGGCGGATTGAGGTGGACGGAATGCCTTGGTGCAGTCCTAGCCTGGCTTTGGATGGTATACTCCATGCTTTCAGCGGTGGCCGGTGGCTGCATCGCCAGCGGAAAAGGGCGGACGCCAGCAGTGACAGACCTGGGAGACACATGAATAGAAATGTTGCATGGCCAACGGAAAAGGGCGGACGCGGCCAATGACAGACCTGGGAGACACATGACCAGCAGTGACAGACTTGGGAAACAAATGAATAGAACTGTTACGTGGCCAGCGGAAAGGGGCGGACACCACCAGTGACAGACCTGGGAGACACATGAATGAATAGAAACCAGCGGAAAAGGGCGGACACCAGCAGTGACAGACCTGCAAGACAAATGAATAGAAATGCTACATGGCCAGTGGAAATGGGCGGACACCAGCAGTGACACAAAGGGCGGACACATCTTAAGAAAGAATTGAGAACCCCTAACAGTAAACTGTTTGGGGAAAAATGGGAGACAAATGCAAGGAGTGGGAGACAAGCCGGCCGGAAACCCGACTACAAGCACCCAGCCTGGGAGACAAATGAAAAGAAGTGGAAGACAAATAAAAGGAAATGGAAGACAAATGCAAGGAAGTGGGAGACAAGCCAGCTGGGAACCGGACCGCAAGCACCCAGCCTGGGAGTCCTGGGAGACAAATATGAAAGGAAGTGGGAGACAAGCCAGCCGGGAACCCGACCACAATGAAAAGAACTGGCAGACAATTATAGAACTGGGAGACATGTGAAAAGAAGTGGGAGACAAGCCAGCCGGGAACCCGACCACAAGCGCCCAGCCTGGGAGACAAATGAAAAGAACTGGGAAACAAATGAAAACCTGGGAGACAAATGAAAAGAACTGGGAGACAAATGAAAGGAAGTGGGAGACAAGCCGGCCGGGAACCCGACCAGACCATCCAGCACCAAGGCGACCATTCTTTAAAGCATTGAGAACCCCCAACAGTAAACTGTTTGGGGAAAAATGTCTGCTACAGTGCTTCACAGGATGTATGACCAGATTTCCAAATCACCTTCAAGCCGTCTTGCCTCGCAGACCCAAGGGGCCGAAGACCAGGACGAAGGACCAAAGGACCATGACCAAAGGACCAGAGCACCAAGGGACCAAAGGGCCAAAAGACCAGAGGACCAAGCTTTTCTTCTTGGCTTTGTAGCGCGCTCAACTGTAGTCAAGAAGCGGGGCATGGCAGACAGGATTGTCCGGCTCGTTCTGACTCACTATGGAAAACGGGCGCGTGCAGGCCACTCTCACTCTCTTTTTTTGCATCCAGGAGTCAGAAGCCCTCAGCAGTGGCTAGCCCAGAGGTGGTGGCTGCAGCTTCCAAGGCCAGCAGCCAGCTGCAGTCAGGTCGCCAGCGGCCACTATGTTTCCCATTCCTGATTCAGCCAAGCGTCGGGAGGTTGTCCCTGGTGAACAGCGAGCTCTGCGGGGCAAGCTGCGCGGTGCGGTATTCCAACGCTGCTCTGTAGTTGAGTTCAACGTGACACTTGTGGTCCAGATTCACATTGGCGGGGGGGGCACCAGAAGATCAGCTTGGTATCGAACACACGGAAGCTGAGAAACACAAAACCTGTCTAAAGTCATGGCAGGCTGCGTAAACACTTCTTGCCAGATTCCAGTGTGCTTCAGTCGCATGTGACGGGCCAGCATTTCCAAATTGAAAATGATCTTCCCGCAAACCGCACAGTGCACCCGAAAATAAACAGAACAGGGGACCACCAGAGTGTGTATTTTATGTGTTTTTGCTGCCTACTTCCATCTATGCGCTATAAACTTCCCACTGTGGCCTGCATTCATGCTATGTGTCTGTGAAAGCTGCCTCAATGTCCTTTGCACCGGAAAACAAACACAAACAGGCTCGAGAAAATATAGAAAAACCAATAACAACCTAGGAAAGCCAAAAAACCCTTGGGAAAACCAAAAAATCAAAAAACAAAAAGAAACAACAAACAATTCTCAGAGACTCTTGGCTGGGCCCCCCCTTTATTCAAGACTTCCCCAGAATTGGTTCTTTTTTTTTGGCGAATTATTCCCCAAATAGTGCTCCGCACTAAGGGGTTCTTACGGTAAGAGTTAAGCGGGTTTTGATCAGGGTTCGCGCGTGTGGCCCCGGCATTTTGCGTGGGCCGGCTCGCGCACAAGTTACTTTTTGAATTCCTCATGTCCATTTCGACTGCGCAGGCTTGCATAAAGTGGTGGCCGCGCCTTTCGCGCTTCCGGGACAAAGCTCTCGTGCAGGTGCCGTGCTCGTTTTCGGACATGAAGTGCATTTTGCGTGGCAGGCGCAAGGAATTCGACACATTGGAGCCTCGAAAAGGTCATTTTACGTGGCAGGTGCAAGGAATCGGAGACTTTGCAAATTTCGTGGCAGGCGCAGTGTTTTGTGGACGTTGCAAAAACGTTGGCAGGCGTGTGTCATTCGCAGGATTGCGTTCCAGGGAATCCGCACCATGGATGCGATATTTTGAGGTGAAACGGCTGAATTCGTGAGAGGGGTCGCATTTTTGGAATTTGAACTTGAGGATGCTTTTGCGTGGCCAGTGCAGCATTTCGTATGACCTGCATGCAGGCATGATTTCGTGGCAGGCGCAGCATTTCTGAAACGCATTTCAAAATGTGCGAAAGCCTCGTGCAATTTGCTCATTTTGGATCTCCGACGTGCAGATTGCGTGGCAGGCGCAGCGCTTTGTGAATCTCGATGTGCAGATTTCGTGGCAGGCGCAGCACTTTGTGAATCTCGATGTGCAGATTTCGTGGCAGGCGCAGCACTTTGTGAATCTCGATGCGCAGATTTCGTGGCAGTCGCAGCACTTTGTGAATCTCGATGTGCAGATTTCGTGGCAGGCGCAGCACTTTGTGAATCTCGATGTGCAGATTTCGTGGCAGGCGCAGCACTTTGTGAAGCTCGATGTGCAGATTTCGTGGCAGGTGCAGCGCTTGCTGAATCTGGAAGTGGAGATTTCGTGGCAGGCGCAGCACTTTGTGAATCTCGATGCGCAGATTTCGTAGCAGGCACAGCACTTTGTGAATCTCAATGTGCAGATTTCGTGGCAGGCGCAGTACTTTGTGAACCTCCATGTGCAGATTTCGTAGCAGGCGCGGTACATTGTGAACTTCGAAATGCTCCGATGTACTCGCCTATGTGCTCTCAGATTTGTGCTTGTATGTGCTCTCACATTTGTGCTCTCAGATGTGTGCTCTCATGTGCTCTCATATGTGCTCCCATATGCTCTCATATGTGTGCTCTCATTTGTGCTCGTGAATCTGCACTCTCACATTTGTGCTCTTGTATGTATCCTCTCATATTTGTGCTCTCATCTGTGTGCTCCTTCTTTCCTTCCACGTGATGCCATGTTCCATCTGTTCCTCTTTACACTATTTGGGGTCCCTTGCCGGTGTATGTTTTTTTAATTTGGTGGGGTTCTTTTGGTTTTTTGGTTTTCCCAAGGTTTTTTTGGCTTTTCCTAGGTTGTTATTGGGTTTCTCAAGGCTTTTTGTTTTTTGTTTTCCTATTTAGGTCAATCTGTGTTCTTACTATTTCGTTCAACCTTCAAGTATGTGAGCCTAAGTCTCACCTCAAGGCATATGTTCTTTGCTCTTACAGTGAAAGCGTCTGAGCCCACCACTCCCTTTGTCCTTGCCGAAATCTCCATGTACAAGTCTGTGCATTAACTTCTGAGTGGTACCAATGTGGTTGCCAATTGCATGCCCAATCAGCTTGACATGAAACTGTAGTGACACCTTCCAATTTACATGAAATTGTTATGAATCTGTGTAAGCTGTAGTTCTAATTCAATG